ACTTCCCAAGAAACAAGATGCCAGAGAGTCAGTAAGCCACGGACCACATGGCAATAAATAGATGAATAGAAGTGGGTTAATTTAAATGTAAGAGCTAGTTAGTAACAAGCCTGGGCCATAGCCCAAACATTTATAACTAATCTAAGCCTCTGTGTGATGATTTGGGAATTGGCCACCGGGTATTTGGGATCAGGGATCAGGACAGAAAGACTCTGCCTCCATTTACCATGACTTAATTGCACTTGACCTTAGTCAAAAGGCCAAGAAGCGATACCATGACTTAACTGGTAAAACTCTTTTGTTGTGCAGGCAAAGGACCTCAGTTTGTATCCAGCATCCAGATAAAAGCCAGGCATGGATGCATGCCCCTGTAGCCATAGTACTGGAAAAGCAGAAACCAGAGGGCTGCTGGGGCTTGCTGGCCTGCCTGTCTACCTGAAACAGTGAATTCCCAGCTCAGCAATAGATCCTCTCTCAAAAAAATAAGGTGGAGAGGGACTAATGAAGATGACTGACATTGACCTCTGGCCTCCATGTGTGTGCACACCCATGAACATGCACACCAACATATGTACATCCGTAAACTCACACACATGCACAAGAAGTTTTGAAAGTTATATCTATATAAAATGGCCAAAGAGGATGCCCCAGGGTGACAGAAATATTCTGTCTCTGGATTGTGACGTCCATGGTCATATGGACATACAGTTATTAAAATTAAGTAAATTGTCAGGAACTAGAGAGATGGCTCAGGATTTAGAGTGTCTATTGTTTTTGCGGAGGATCCAAGTTCAGTTCCCAGCACCCACCTGGCAGCTCACCCGTAGTTACCTGTAACTCCAGTTACAGAGGATCCTACACCCTTTTCTGGACTCTGCAGATTCCTTGACTCATGTGGTACACATAAACTCACACAGGCACACATACATACAAATAATAAATCTTTTAAAAACTTCAATGAATTGTACACTAAAGGTGGATACATTTTAATGCATATAAGTTATGCTAATGTTGTATTTTTAAATCATAGCAAACAGTCAAGAGAATGGCTGACTGAGACTGAGAGCATCATTGTAAGCAGGAAAGCTGGTAAGGTCCTCGGTTTAGAAAGAGCCCTTAAAGACAACATGGAAATGGTATGCACACCAATAGAATATTGCAGATGCAACAAAGGAGCTATTTGTAAATGAAAAATGGGCAATGAATATTAAAAAGACAATTCTTTAGAGATCAAAGAAATACAAATCAAAACAGAAATCCCATAACCTCTTATCTACTATTTTTTTAATTAGATACCCAGATTCCCTCCAGGCAGTTAAGAAGAGAAGTTTTTAGAACTTTAGAAGGGACATGAGCTGCTGTAATCTCTCTGGGGGAAGAGTTGTCACGATATTTACAGAATGCCCCTTTATCCGAGTGTCCACTTGTAGGGTTTATAGATAGCTGCACTGTATTTGCTCCTTGAACCACCTCTGGTTCAACGCCTGGTTTATGCCTCTGTTTGTGCACTTCTACCCCAGGTGGCAAAATTTAACCTTCATTGAACAAACCATCCTCACTCTGTGAACGTCCCAAATCTCCAAAATAGCTGCTACCTAAGAGACTCTTGCAGACATCTTTCAGGGTTCAGTGGCAGAGTGCTTGCCTAGAATGCATGAGGCCCTGGGTTCAACCTTGACAGAGAGAGAGAGACGGGGAGTGAGAGGGAGGGAGAGAGACTGGCTGCCTGTACTTGACTCAATCACTGTGGCCCAGGAATAGTCTGAGGGACTGGCCATCTGGGGCATATACTTCTGTGTATGATAGTATATTGGATCAGGTTTCCTTTAAGCCATATAGAGCAGTGAAGGGGACCACCAAGGGCAGAAATGAGGGGCAGGTGAAAAAAGATACAGGCTACTAGAGAGGACCAGCACCATCTTCCCTCCATAATCAGAATTTCCAATTCCTTCTGGAATCCTTGGGGCCATTTTCCTGCCACCTAAGGAGTGTGTTGCCTAAGAAGTACGTTATCATGCAGCCTATCCCCCCATGTGAACTTTGAGAGATGTCTCTTTCTCAGCCGCCGTGGGATTTGTCTTCCCTGCTATGAACGTGGGTATTATGGGGGCCGGCCACACCCAAAAGGAAAAGCTAGCATCCCAGAAAAACAGACAACCTAGAAGTGTGCACCTGTGGAAAGAGTCTGCTATGGGAGTCAAGGCATTCTGCCCACTGTCCACCCCTCGGGGCTCCTCCACCAGCTCCCAGATCTGGAGAACCAAGCAGATGCTTTGCCCTGTTCACACTCATGCTAACTTCCCACTGATGTTTTCATCAGCCCACTCCCGACCTCCTGCTTGCCCTTGCTTTGTTCAAAGGTCTTCAGCAAATCTGCTTAGCTGGCAGGAAGGCCACAGGTTAAACCCTACCCCAGTTCTTAAGCCCTCTGCTGGCTCCAGCCTCCGCTGATCTCTCTCCTTATCCCGGACCGTGCCTGCAGCCAGGAATCACACTCCAGGCGGTAGCACACTCCCCCCCCACACCCCCACCCCCACCCCCGTCTCTTGCCTGGAATTACCGTACGTTTTTAGTACCAAGATTTACTCTGAGCATTAATATCTTGCCCCCCCACCCCCCGTATATCTTACATTTCTCTCCATCTCCAAGTACATGTAATATACAGAGGTGGGAGGTGTGGCCTCACACCTCAGAGCCTAGACCCTGGAGTCAGAAACAGTAGTGTGAACTCAGGCAATTACTCCATCCATGCACTGTCTGCTGAGTCATCCTTTCCTTTACCTTTATTTGTAAAATGGAAACAAAGTAACTCCTGTGTTTTGCGCCTGACAGGGGAATTGGAACAAACAGGACCCGTTTTAGCATGTGCCTGGTCCTGTTGTGGGTATTCAGGAAATGTCAGCTTTAAATATATAGGTGCTTGCAAATGAACTCAGACTGGACAGCTCTCATAGGAGGGGCCATTAAGTAAACAGAGAGGGACTGTGTTCTAGTTTCATTACGGTTGCCGTGATAAAACACCCTGAGAAAAGGCAACGTGGGGGACCAAGGGGTTACTTCTGCTCAGAATTCCCGGTTACAGCCCCTGTGTTGTGGGGAAGGCTAGTCACATATCAGGGCCAAGAGCAGAGAGCAGTGAGCACGTACATGTTCATCCACTTGCTGGGTTCAGTTCCATTCCTACACTCTCACGCAGTTCAGGAACCACTGCTGATAGACTAGTGCCTCCTGCAATGGGCCAGGTCTTCCTATAGCAATCCACAGAATTAAAACAATCCCACACAAATACGTTCACAGGCCAAGCCAATGTAGGTGATCCTTCAGCAAAACTGGCTTCCTAGGTGACCCTAGGTTGGGTCAAATTGACAATTAAAGCAAACTGTCATGGGCTGGGAAACCAGCATGCCAGCAGAGAGAATCTGTGCTGTCCTGAATTGGAAGACAGAAAACAGGGATAGTGCGCCACAGACTCCAGCAGACCTCCAATATTGTCACAGCCCCTGGAACTGTGGCTAAGTGATAGAAATGTGGGGAAGAAAAGGCACCACCCAAATGCTATCACCCAGCTATATTCATGTGTTTGTGGATATTTTGTCATTTCAAATACTATTAGCTACTCAAATATAATTAATTCACCCAACAAATATTTACTGAACATCCATTATGTGCCACGGAAACAAGAGATTTCTTTTTTTAGAATTGAGAGAATAACAGCTAGGATGTGTCTCCTCTGTTATATCTAGCTGATGCATGCAGTTCAAGTCCTGGTACCTTCTGGTCTGAAGCGAGGAGTCTCTTCCTCAGCCTTCCACACCCATGCTAAACAGAGCTGGTCAGTGCTAAAGTGGTTGGAAATTTCCCTTTCTAAATATCTTTTGGTGGCTCGCACTGCTAGGGTGGTCTGTCTTTCCTGGATCCTCATGCTCAAGCATCTCACTCCTCCAAACATTTTCATGACATGGCCTTCCTTGGATGTCTATCTAGCAAATGTCTTCTTTTTTAAGAGCAATGTCAAGTCAAGCGTCCCCATCCCTCGGGAGGCCCCGACTCCCTCAATCCCTACCTACCCCTCAGCTACCCTTCTCCCAGCCATCACAGCCTATCTTCATTTGCTTTCTGTTGCTGTGATCAAACATGGACCAAAAACAGGTTGGGGAGGAAAGGGTTCATGTGGCTTACTGTTGTTGGTGTTTTTTATTCTTTGGGGGCCCGCCACCCAGCTCCCAAACAAATACATGGAGACTTATTCTTACTTATGAATGCCCAGGCTTAGCTTGGCTTATTTCTAGCCAGCTTTTCTAACTTAAATTATCTCATTTCTCTTTAACTACATTTTGCCTCAGGGCTTTTTACCTTTCTTTATTCTATACATCTTTCTTTTCTTATTATTCCATGGCTGACTGTGTGACTGGGTGGCTGACACCTGGCATCCTCCTGTCCTCCTTTTCTTGCTCCTCAATCACCGTTTTTCCCCTAGATTCCTCCTCCTATTTATTCTCTCTGCCTGCCAACCCTGCCTATCCTTTCTCCTGCCTTGCTATTGGCCATTCAGCTCTTTATTAGACCACTCAGGTATTTTAGACAAGCAAAGTAACACAGCTTCACAGAGTTAAACAAATGCAACATGAAAGAATGCAACACATCTTTGCATCATTAAACAAATATTCCACAGCATAAACAAATATAACACATCTTAAGCTAATATTCCATAACAGCTTATATTTCCCTGTCCATCGCTGAGGGAAGTGAGGGTAGGAACCTGGAAGCAGGGGCAGTGATGGAAGCTGCTTACTAGCCTGCTCTCCAAGCTCAAGTCCAGCTACCTTTCTTATACCTCCCAGGTCCACCTGCCCAGGGGTAGCCCCTCCCACAGTAGGCCGGGGGCCCTCCTGATCAATTGATAATGAAGAAAATGCCCCACCGACATGCTCACTGGCCATTGTGATGAAGGCAATTCCTCCATGAGATTCCGTCTTCCCAGACTATGTCTAAATTCTGTGTCGAGTTGACAGAGACCAAGCAGCACAGAGCCCATCTAGAAATACAGAAACAGCTCCCTGGGTTCAAATGAGTGAATCACAGGTGGGTGGTGTTTTCCCAAGTGGTGGGAAAGCTGAGCCACCAACCAGGGTCAGTGAGGGAAACTAGGAATTAGCACCAGTGAGGAGCTGGTGACACCCTGAGGCTAAAAGGGCAACTGAAGGAAGTGACCAGAGCCCAGAAGCCATGGTCACCCTGCTGAGCTGGACTTCAGCGGCCTTGTGTAGCAGGAAGTGGAGTCACCCAGCTGATCTTCATCTTGAAGACGCCACAAAAGCCAGAGGAACGAGAGCGGCCTCTGACCCCTGTCTCTGCGGACTCTTCAGTGCCTCTCTCTGCTAAAACAGCTGAAAGCTGGCAGACTGTGAACCTGAAGGGGTTCCCAGCAGCCCACCTGTCACCACTACCTCACTCTCTATACTTCTCTCCCCTGGCAACTGAGGGAGCCAGGAAGAGGGGCAAAGGAACTGCTCCCTCTCCCCCTCCCTCAGGCAGGCAGCCTCCTGCTTCCTTAGCGCTGGTTCTGAGTTTGGTAGAATGCTGATTCCACCCGCTGTGGCCTCTCTGTTTCCTATTCTGCTTTCCTCACCAGAGTGCATGGTTTCAGAGCAGCGAACCGTGAATGGCCTCGTTCATTTTGGTGTCTTCAGTAACTGGTATGATTCACAGTACGCAATAGGCACTCAACCATCCTTGGATAGAGATGGAAAGTTCCTTCCATCACCTTCAGAGCTGTGTGTGTGTGTGTGTGTGTGTGTGTGTGTGTGTGTGTGTGTGTGTGTGTTACTAAGTACTCTATGGTTGAGCTATATCCCAACTCTCCTCTTCGTTGAAATTTGTTATTATTATTACTAATCTCTGTGTGTGATGTGTGAGTAAACGCAGGCATGCCCATGTCCCGTAGGCCAAAGGACAAGCTCTGTGTGGATCATTCCCTTCCACCTTGTTTGAAGACAGGGCTATTGAGTACGACCTATGCCAACCTTACTGTTCCCTGAGTTTCCAGGGAGTCTCCTCTCCTCAGTTCCCATCTCTCTCTCTGAGTGCTGGCATGGCATTTCAGACATGAGTATTAACTTTTTAATTAATTAATTAATTAACATGTAATTAGCTTTTTACATGGATGTTTGGGATCCAGCTCCGGCAGGCAGGTTTGTGCAGCAAGTTCTTTACCCACTGAGCTGGTGAGACCTTGTTAACTAAACTCGAGTCATCTGGAAAGAGGGAACCTCCATTCAGAAAATGCCCCCATCAGACTGGCCTGGAAGCAAGTCTGTGGGGGCAGTTTCTTGACTAATGACTGATGTGGGAGGGCCCAGCCCACTGAGGGCAGTACCACCCCTGGGCAGGTGGTCCTGTATTGTGTAAGAAAGAAAAGAGAACAAGCCAGTAAGTCGTGTTCCTCCATGGCTTCTGCCTCAGTTCCTGCCTGCAGGTTCTTGCCCTGACTTCCTGCCCTGACTTCCTTCACGATAGACTATAAGCTGTAAGGTGAAATAAACCCTCTCCTCCCCGATGGCTTTTGGGTGTGGCCTTTACCACAAAACTAAAGCAAACTAGAACACAGCCTGAGCCCTCTCCCCATCCCTTCTTCCCTTTTCCCATCTACCTCCCTTGACTAGCTGAACTCTGATTAGCATTGAAAAATGAGCAAGAAGCATGGGGTCTCTTTACCTCCGGGTCTGCAAGCTGAGAGCTTCTATTTAAATAATCCCAACAATAATCACCATAGTTATTATGCTCATAGCACCGTCAACTTCTCAGCCTTCTACCTTCTGTAGCCACTTGAGAAGGATCTGTGGAAATTGCCTGAAATCTCAAAATATCTTCCCTCTACCACCCAAGATGCTTCGAGGCCACCTCTCCCTGCTGTTAATCAGTGTGTGCTCAGGATAAACAAACTAATTTTAAAATCAGCTTAAGCAAAACATAATTAGGAAGACAAATTAGCTGCCCCCAAGATTGCATAATGAATGCCCAGGCCAAAAAAATTTTTTTTTTAAAAAAAGTCTTTTTATTATCTGCTGTCTTTATTAACGGTGTAACATTTTCCCTTCGATCCTTGCAGCAGAAGGAAATACCACTGAACCCGACAACTGAAATTGATTGTCTCTGCGGTGCTCCCTACAGGATGAAAACTAGATTTTCTGTCAACGTTGTCCGTGAGGGCAAGTGGGTATGCGCCACAGCGTATGTGCGGGAGTCGGAGGACAAGCCCGGGGGTCAGTACTCACCCTCCGCCTTGTTAAAGACAGAGTCCCTAGTTGTGCCCGGTTGCACACATCAAGTTGGCTAGGCTAAAGCTTCCGTGGATTCACCTGCCTCTGCCCCAAAGCTCGACGGAGGAGCACTCTGACGACAGGCGCGTGTGACCCCAACCGGCTTTACGTGGGTTCCAGGTGTCCCAAAGAAGAAACTCACATCCTGAGCAATCAGGATGTTCTTTTTCCACTGGGCCCTCTCCTCAGCCCCCGGAGAGGTTTTGCTCTCTTCTTTTCTAAATATTTATTATCTGGGTACGTGTAGACACACCTATGCCACGGAATGCACACGGAGGTCAGAGGGCAACTTTGTGGCGTTGGTTCTCTCTTTCCACCCTTGTGTGGATCCTGGGGATCCAACTCAGGCTGTCAGCCTTGCACACCAAGTACTTATTTAACCTCTGGCTTATCTCGCTGGCCCTGGTTTTATTTTTCTTACATTACATGTATATCAGCCCTAGAGCTAAAGAAATGAGGTAATGAGATTCAGGCGACTCTCCGCTCTGGTTTACGGAGGGACCATCCTAGGCCTGTTGGGTAACATGTGGAAGGCGAGGTTCTTTTCATATGAAACCAAGATGTACCTGCCTTGGTGACACTAGCAGCGGACACAGGCTTGCTCTGTGGTTCAAATGCGTTCCTTTAATCTTCACCATGACCTCATGAATTATTTACTAGTATTGTTTCATATAAGGAAGCAGTCAGAGGGATTAACTTGCTCAAGAAGATATTATGAAAATTAGGTGTGATAGTGCACGTGGAAATCAGGAAGCAATTATCAGAAGTGTAACAGGAGCTAAGTTAGGGTTTATTTTTATTCCTCTTCACACCCCCAAGAATATTGACTTGTGTTCATAAAAATTACTCTGGATACTCCCTGATTAATAGGCCTGGACCCACATCCCTGACTGGACACTCGCCGTACTCTGCATTTCAGTCTCTCCCTATGCAACATGTCAGTCAGGCCGCTGCTGCTGTCATTCAGGGGCCACTGGAGAGGACTCACCTGCAGCACTGTTTGCTGCTTTCCATAATGTTTGCACTTTTCTAAAGTGCCGTCAGTGTTGAAAATCAGAGCTCTCTCTCTCTTTCTCTCTCTCTCTCTCTCTCTCTCTCTCTCTCTCTCTCTC